GCCTGCATGAAAAATGTAAATGTATGTACATATCAGCGTTGCCGAACGCTCCAATTTTTGCGGAACGTCCCGATTTATAAATCAAAATTAAATGTCCCGCGTCTGACTTTTCGGGGATAACTCGACCGTGTGTACAACGTGCTGAGGAAGCACACAGTTAAGTCAGGACTGGCAGTCCGCCCGGTGCCTAACGAAGATATGTACATATGTATGTATGTATGTACGTATAACCATACATAGTACTTATTGTACTTTATTTGTTATTTCAAAAATGAACTCTTTAAAAAACTTTAGAGATCGTCGAAAGAAGAATATCATATCTCTATATATATAAAACAGTTTGTCCTGACTGACTGACTGATTGGCAATAAACGCACAGCCCAAACGGTAAGAGCTAGGAAGCTGAAATTTGGATACAAGATCCCTCTTATAGTGAAAGTGAGCACTAAGAAGGGGTTTCGGAAAATTCGAACGCCAAAGGGGGGAAATGGGCTCCAACGTTTGTATGAAAAATCTACAATTTCCGATTAACTTCAAACTTAGTTTGTATACTCTCACAAAGAATACAAAAAAAACTGTATACTTGGATTTTCAATATTTTACCTGCGGCCTGAATAATAATGATTTTCCGGTGGAAAATTCGGTAAACGAAAAGCTATTTGCAATCAACGCACAGCCCAAACGGTAAGAGCTAGGAGGCTGAAAATTGGACACATGTTGTCTTCAGTGGTGTAGGTGAGCACTAAGAAGCGGTTTTGGAAAATTCGAACGCCAAAGGGGGGAAAACGGGCTCCAACGTTTGTATAAAAATTCTACAATTTTCATCCAATTAACTTCAAACTTAGTTTGTATACTCTCAAAAAGAATACAAGAAAAACTGTATACTTGGTTTTTCACCATTTTTCCTGGGGCATGGAAAGGGGGGGTTTTCCGTGGAAAAATTGAAACACAATCAACACCCCACAGCCCAAACGGTAAAAGCTAGGAACCTGAAATTTGGGCTCAATTATCCTATCATGGTGTAGATGCGCACTAAGAAGGGATTTTGGAAAATTCGAGCTCCAAAGGAGGGAAAAGTAGCTCCAAAGTTTGTTTGAAAATTCTGCATTTCTGAATCGATCAACTTTAAATTTGGTTTTTATAATCTATAAAAGAGTGTGTTGGAGCTTGAATTATTGGGGTTTTAATATTTATTCATTTTTTCAAATGAAAAGCTTGTGTTATAAATTTTGTCCGATCGATTTCAAATTTGGGTAATATAATCTACGTAACTAAAATTACAACTTTGCATTTAACGATTTTTAAAATATGCATTTTACAAATGCAGGCAGAACAAACAATACAAAATATCAAACAGTTGGGGAAAACTAAGTATACATACACACACACAAACATACATACAAGCAGCTGTTCGTGTAGTTGCGTGCAAACGGTTGAAGTAGCCAAAGCAAAATGTGAGACACTAATGTGTGAATGTTCATTTGTACACTTAGTACGTACATTCGTCTTGCACTGACAGGGCAAGAATTGTTAATTAATTAAAAATTATTAACATTATAACATAAACATTTTGATGTTATTTTTTCTTTGTTTAGTACATTTGGCATAAGGGGTTTTTAGGACAACGGACTACAAGGGCGTACGCAGAATTTCGCATTATGAATTACACCAGCACCATATGTATTACATACGTACATACATATGTACATACGTCTGTATGTATAGTATGTACATATGTATGTACATCAATAAGTATTTATTATACCCTGTACCCAAAGGGTACAAGGGTATATTAGTTTTGTGCGAGTGCACATGGAACACACAGAAGGAGGCTTGGTAGACCCCACAAAGTATATATATTCTTGATCAGCATGACAAGCCGAGTCGATATAGCCATGTCCGTCTGTCCGTCTGTCTGTCCGTCTGTCTGTATGAACGCAAGGATCTCCGAAAGTATAAGAGCTAGAATAACCAAACTTGGTATACAGATTCTCCTGAGACCGAGAAAGGACGAGTTTGTTCATTTTTTCTGATCCACCCCCCCACTCCCCCCCTATTAACGATTTTCTATAATATATATACTCCCGTAATTCTTGGAATTTTGAACTCAAATTTGGTAGTCAGGTTAGTTAGGTTAGTTATTATATAACCGTATACCAAGTCTCATTATGATAGAATGATCGGAAAGAAAGTTATAGCCATATAACCAGGCCCAATGCACACATACATACATATGTACAAGTACACAAACACGCATAAGGCGCGATTCTGATGTAAATGTAAATGTATGTATGCATGCATGGAATATTTTATATTTAATTTAGTTAATTAATTAAATTAATTTAGTTAATTAATTAAATTTAATTAATTAATTAATTTAATTACTTTTTTGTGGGGTGGTACAGGGTATTTAAGAGTTGAGCCTGCTCGACTTTAGCATTCCTTTCTTGTTTTTTTTTAATTTTCCCCCCCTTCCCCCGCTACAGAATTTCGTCAATAGCGTCCACATTTCAAATGCTACCTAAACCAAACTTTGCACACATAATTAATATATAATTGTCTACTGTTTATTCAATTCGGTCAATTCTAAGAAAAGTTATTAGCAAAACAAATTCCTGCCAGTACAACCCCCCCAAACTGCAGCAACAAGTTCGCTCTTCTTCTTCCTCTTTTTGCTGCTGCTATGGGCGCATATAACTCAGTGACGGAAGTTTACCTGGGTACAGGGTATTACACTGTCGGGCTTGCTCCACTGTAGCGTTCTCTCTTGTTTAAAAAGTAAAATCGTGCTGAATATCATAATATACAAATAAATAAATATGTTTTGTTTTCATTCTGTACCTCTTTATTTAAAATACGTACATACATATACACATGTTTGCGCACAATTGCAAACAACACATACACGCAAAAATACATAAATATGTATGCATGCATGCATTTTTTATACAGTCATACTCGGGTAAAACCCGCGCAATACTCGAGACATATTACTCGAGTAATACCCGAGTATAACTCGCGCAATACCCAAAGAATACTCGAGCAATAACGGTACTATACTCGTTCTATCAAACGCTCATTCTTTAAAGTCTGGTTCGTTTCGATCAGGACCCAGTCATCTTAAACGAAGTGATCGAGCCTAAACTGTTCAGGAAAGCAAACCAATCAAGGCTGGTAGCCGTTCGCAACGAACAGAAAACACGAAGTGACCGAACCTGAACTGTTTGAAAGCAAACCAATCAAGACTGGTGCTTGTTCGTAAAAATAGAAAGATTTATCATTCAAGTTCGATCATCAACTCGTTCGAGTCCGTTTGCAGCCAAGCAAAGATCTGATTTGATTCAAGGGTGGTCGAACATACAAGTTGCAGTTCTCTGATACATACATATATTATGTACATATAAGTGTATGTATTCAACTGTACAGTTCAACACTTATCCACATGTGTTTTTTGAATATGAATGTTGTGAGTGTGAAAGGCGTGCTTTTTTAAATCGCAGGAATACATTCATGGAATAAGCTTAACGCTTAATGACTCCCTTAATTCTTCAATACATTTGTAGTTGTTAGCTGACGCAACCGTTTAACACAAACGGTAAAACCGCTTGTAAATATGCGATCAGCTAAGATGCTAGAGATGGGCATGTGTCGGCTTTTTTCGGCCCGTCACAGCACGATCACGTAATTAAAGAAGTAAAAAAGCTAAAGTCGGGTGTCCCGACTTTGAAATACTCTGTACATATGTTTAGAACAATTATGCGTGTATGTGTGTGTTTGTGTGTGTCTGTGTATGTCTCGTGTGCCTGAGCAAAGCAGTAACAACAATAACAGCTGCGGGCACTACTTGGTCTTATGTACATATATGGCTATAACTTCCTGTTAAATCGCCCTATCATGATGACTTATTATAACTAAATGGAGTTATTTGCCAAGTTTGAGTTCGAAATTCCAAGAATTACGGGAGTTAAGATTTGCGGGGGAGAGAGGGAAATTCCAAAATAAGCATTTTCTGCGTATTCACATATGTGGGACTAAAATTTGGTGTCCCTAGGTCTTATAGTCTCCGAGATATAGGCGATATAACGAATGGATTATCGGGAAAACCCCTTATAGGGGGGAAGTGGGGGGGGGGGAATCAAAAAATAAAACAAACTTGCACAGCGTACACGCATAAGGCATCTTTCTGCAAAATTTGGTGCCTCTAGCTCTTATAGTCTCTGAGATCCAGGTGTTCATACGGACAGACAGGCAGACTGAGCTAGATCGACTTGTCTCGTCATGCTGATCAAGAATATATATGCTTTGTGGGGTCTGCCACGCCTCCTTCTGCCAGTTACATTTTCAGCTCCCGCAAACCTAATATACTCTTGTACATTTTATGTACAGAGTATAATCATGAACTTATATTTAGAGTAGTTAAGGTACAAATTAATCACTTTAACCAAACACCATACGAGAGAACAAGCTTAATGCGGTAAGTTAGACCGGAGGTCATTTATTGAGAGAGTGAATAATAATGTGTAATATACCCTGGTTCTATTTATACTCTGTACATGAAATGTTCAAGAGTACAAAGTATATATATTCTTGATCAGCATGACAAGACGAGTCGATCTATCTATCTGTCCGTATACTACAAGTATAAGAGCTAGAGACACAAAATTTTGCACAAAGATGCCTTATGTGTGTACGCTGTGCAAGTTTGTTTTATTTTTTTGATTTTCCCCCCACTTCTCTCAATGCAATTATACACCCTTTACGTGAGTTCCAACACCGAAAGATTTAAACTCGATCAAAAATTTTTTTAAATTTCTTAATTTTTTTTAATTTCTATAATTATTCTAAACGTATGTACAGAGTATTTCAATGTCGGTACACTCGACTTTAGCTTTTTTACTTGTTTTTTTAGACTTGTGGGGGGAGCCCTTATCAATATAAAGCTGCCCATTATAAAGAAACTCGTTAATACTAATAATTGGTTTTATTTTTGTTTCTTAAAGATACACAAACAAATGTCTTTAGAGCAACTACGTTTAGTTTTTCACGTAGACACATATGCAGCTGTACCGAATTACGAGGTGGTCCAGCTTTTGCACCATACCCGACATCGCGCTCGGCGCAGCATCAAACCCACTTCCTTAACGGAGCTCACGCATCATGTTAAAAAGGATTTAAGCAAAAATGCGTATTACAGTGATTTTAAAAGCGATCAGAGAAATAACGAAGGCGTAACTAATTTACTTACTGACATCGACGTGAGCAAAATAAAAACTCATAATGTTTCTTTTACCGCCTTCGGGCGACATATGAATCTGACATTGCGTGCTACGGAAGGATTATTTAAAGGTCCGCCACATCAACTTCGTATGTGGTCGGTAGACAAGGATGCAAATGCTACACACGGCTTGGACATTACAGAAATTTCGCAAACAGATGTAAGTCACTTTTTTCATTTGTATCCTAAAATATTGGGAATACCTGCGGAGTGTTACGTTTATAATATCCGCAGGTTGCATATATATTGTAATAATTACTTTTGCAAGTGCATTGAAACTTAATTTTTATTTCCCGTCTTGTAGAACGATACGCACGAAGTTGGAGGGGTTTTCCAGGATCATGAAAATATGGCAGCAATTTTAATGCGTCGTCATATAGAATCAGGTGAACTAATAATGGTAAGTTGAAAAAATGTTTATTATACCTGTTGAAGTAGGAGTTAGTCATAAGTTTTAATTGTTAGCTTGTAATTAGACTTATTGTAAACTTAATTTGTAAAGGATGAAAGGGTATACTAGTTTTGTGCGACTGTATGTAACAGGCAGAAGGAGGCGTAGCAGGCCCCACAAAGTATATATTCTTGATCACCATGACAAGATCAGTCGATATAGCCATGTATGAGCGCAAGGATTGCAGAAGGAGCTAGAATACCAAAACTTAGTATCCAGCTTCCCCTAAGCCGAGGCAGATAAAGTTTTTTTTGTATTATTCTGATGCACCCCCACTCTCCCGCTATTAGTAAATTTGCATAACTCACGTCTTTCTAGGAACTTTAAACTCAATTTTGGCAATTACATCCCTTTATGTGTCCGTATGCCAAGGTCCACCATGAAAGCTAAATTATGAAGAAAGTTATACCCATAAATATAATCTCTGCCCAAGCTCTGTTGTTGTTGTTGCTGCTTTGACTTATTTCTGTACGGCATATATAAGTTAACACGCACAATGCAAAATCTGCTAACAGGTCATTAGACTGGACGCGGTTGCCACATAGATGTCAGTTCACACGCCGTTTATTTATATTTATGCGCACTTGAGCTAATAAACGATTAATTGAAACTACTCAAAATGGAATTTGTTTACTTATATACGCACGCATAGACACGATTTTGATGTATGATGTATGCTGTCGAAACGGCACATAAACATATTAATCCATTTATGTATGTATGTATTGAGTTTTTTATTATTTTTTTGTGGTATTAGGTAGAATTCCTTTTTTGTTAATAATAGTACCAGAGGGTCTGCCTACCTGGGTCCTCTCAACAAGTAATACCTGTACAATTGCATCATTACAGGCAGTTGAAAGAGCCATATACTCTGCCTCCATTCTGCTAAGTGCCACGTTACGCTGTTTTTCAGATCGGCAGGAAATCGGTCATCCAGCCAAGTAGTATACAGTATACAGTCCGCATCCACATAACCGGGAAGGGGTTGTCCGCACTCTTTGTAATGCAACTTCATGTCTAAAGTTACGCCAGGTAGCGAATGACTTGTTTTACGCCCACTAGGTGCTCTGCATGCGGACCTTGATTCCGTTGAGCCAACTTGGCAACGCAATTAAACAAGTCTGGCCAAGCTCACCTTCGCGCTGTACTTCCTTGCCAATGAACAAATGCAACTCTCCCTTGTCCACACTTTCAAATGATGTTGTATAGTAATGGCTTTCTTGATGTTGACCAAGTCCTCTTTTGGTCGTAATGCTATAATTATATCATCAACATGCTATAATTATATCATCAGCATAAACAAGGATTAACGATTGTCAATGCTCGGTTCATTTTCGCATGCTATAAAACCGATGCCTTTCCTCGTAGTTCACGTCATACTTCTGGAAACATCCTTTGGCTACGAGTCGTGCCTTGAAGCGTTTTACTTTTCCATCGGAGTCACGTTTTAGGCTATATAACCACTTGAAACCATTGGTAAATCAGCCATTTGCCAGGTATTATTTGAGCGTAGAGCCGGATATTTCTTTTCCTCGCCTCTCGTCTCCGCACAGGATGACAGTTCGAACAATTTTAGGCCGGTGTTGTGTCGCTACTCGTTTGCACTGACTTTAACTGCTCAGGGATGTAACGTTATTGCATTTGTAATTTCAAAGCGTAACCTACAATGTAATACACCGAATTTATATCTAATAGTTCCGGCACACACATAAAGCGTCTAATCGATTTGGTCACACACTTCGAACTCTTCCGTGCACACACCACACGTCCAATCACTTCGGTTGCTCAACTCGAACTTTTTGTATTTATCGAGCCAAAGATCGAAAAGGTTTTTTATTAATATTCGATATTGGGCATAAATGGCAGTTTCCGGTTCAAAATATATTGTAAAATCTTCCATGCCGCCCCCAATGCTGGCACTAGCATTCAACCCAAAGAACCAGAAACCTGCTACAAAGAAAAGAAGGCAAGTATCTGTTATGGCATGCAAGGAAACCATCATAGAGATTAGTTCTGTGTTGTTCATCTTGGGATAAACGAGATGGCAGAGGCAAACGGCAAGAAAGACTTCGTTTATAAATTCCAAAAGTCGTTTTAACCGTTGTCATTGTAACAAGTTGATCTGTACCTGGATGAAGTTCGATGAAACGGCCAAGTTTCCATTCGTTCGGTGGAAGTTGATCGTCCTTTATGACGACTATGTCACCCATTGATATGTTGGCTGTTTCATGACACCATTTGGGACGAGCTTGTAGATAAGAGAGCCAATCGTTGCTCCAATATTTCCAAAACTGTCGAAGAATTCGTTGGCCCTAAAGAAAGTCCTTGACGATTCTTAGACTTGAGGAACTGCTGCGACTATGCGGTCAAAAGGCACAGTGGGCGTGAGCTTAGGGAAGCTTCTATCTGGGTTACAACTGTTGACAATTGCTCGTACGTTATAAGAATTCCACTGAATGTGGAAGATTGAAGTGCAATTGTATGTTTCGCTTGGCAAGCTCAGGAACAATGCTGTTTGCTACTTCCTGTTTAAAATGCTGTGCCAAGTTTTCAAGACTTTGTCTGCACCAACAAAATTAGTTCCGCAATCGATGTGTTCGCAGAGTCCTTGACGACCAATGAAGCGCTGCAGTTCCCAAAAGAAATGTTCTGTAGATAAGCCAGTCACTGCTTCCAGATGAATGGCCTTTGTTGCAAGGCATATAAAAATTGCAATATAGGCCTCGTAGGTTGTGTGCCCTCGAACTGCTCCAGAAAGTTCTATGCTAGGGATTGTCCAAGGCTTTGTAGGTGAAACGCGGCTACGAGCTGTCAGCAAATGCGAAATCACCAATCCATTCTTGTTTTCCACGCGAAGGTATGCACAACCACCGTAGGCCAACGATTATCCGTCGCACAATATATGCAGCTGAATTGACATAATCTGCGATGAATCGATTCCCAGCCACCGTGGCACTCTGATACTCTCTACGTTGGGTAAAGTGACGATATAGCTTTGCCAGTGCTCTTGAAGTGCCTGTGGTACGTCTTTATCCCTACTCAGCGTAAGATGGCAATAAGTTGATCACGAATGGCAATGGCTCCAGAGATAGTAAAATCTCCAGTTTATATGTCATCCACATAAACGTCATGTTTGATAACGTGTGCACTAAGAGGATAGCAATCACGTTCATCATCTGCAAGCTGATGCATCACTGGTATAGCTGTGTACTGAGACGTAAGTGATTTTAAAACATATGATGTGTCGATGTGTGTGCTGAATTGTCGGTCGGTACACGAGCTATGTCTGAATTGGGTTATCCATTTACTATACATCTATTCTTAGAGTTGTAATTGACTCCGTTGATCTCTGCCGAAATTGGATGACGTTTCAAGCCAAGAGATTGTAGGACATGCTCTGTACTGAGAGTTTCTTTAGATACATTATCTATTAGCGCTCTTCCTATGGATGACTGCCCAGTTTCGTCATTATGTATTTTGACCAAAGCCATTGCCAAAAGTACAGTGCGAACTAACTGAGATGAAGGCTTGGTCACTGCCGATATGAGTTGCGTTGTGTTTGTGACCACTGCCTGATCTGAAGTACTAGTTTGTAGCTTTTGCGGAACAGCTATGTAGTCTGGTTTGTTGGTTGGAAAATGCAAAAGCTTGTGATATCGTTGTCCACATTGTTGACAGTTTCGTTTGCTGCCACATTTCGATTTTGTATGTGCGGAATCAAGACAATTAAAACATACCTTGGTGCGTTCAGCAATAGATTTTCGAGTGAAACAATGCTTTGCGAGAAAGTCAGGACAACGACGCAGCACATGACAGCTGTCGCTGCAATTCACACACCGATGGGAAGCCATGTTGTTTGTGGTTGTATGAAAACTATTTGGTTTCTGAAACGCATTACCTGAATAGTTTTTGGATGTACGTTGCTAAGTTGTTGAAGCCGCTTGACGTGGTTATTGGCTGATGGACCGATTCTCAATAATATCGATGCTGATCAGGCGATTATTGAGAAACTGCTTCATCGTACTAAATATAGGAAAGTTAGATGAGCTACCAAGAAAGTGCTCCCATGCTTATAGAGTTGTTGAAGGAAGTTTAGTCACAAGTTGATGTACCATCCAATGATCGCAAGACTTCATTTCGATATTGAGAAGTTTTAATTCATTGATGCATACATTTCTAACATCTTGAGATCTTGTTCATCTGATGCATGAACAATCAGAAAATAAGATGTTTCGTTGTTGGTATCGGTTAAGTCCATTTGGTGGATATCGCAACCTTAGGCAAGGCTTGCCTAAGGAAATGGAATGTGTATAAGTTGTGCAAATGAGTCGTAAAATACTGGCCACTCTATAAATTTCAAGAAAAGGTAGGTACAGGCAACTTTGGCAGTTGTACGCTAGACGACGGATATGTTTGCTTGATCGAAGTTTGAATTTGCATGTTAGAAAGTTAATTTGCCATTTCTACATTGGAGAGAATGACTGTTCATAAGCTTCCAAAATTTCACAATATATGTTAGTATGGTTGTCATTAAATGACATTAGAAAATCTCGATGTACTTGTTTGAGTTCAGCAGCATATTCATCTAACCTTTTTAGAGAGTATATATACATGGTGCGTTACAAAGTAAACAGGACTTTTTGAATCTAGCGCCCCCTGGTGGTGCTATCTATATGTCGACTGGTGCGTTAGAATCTGCTATCTTTATCGATTGTCCAGTGAGAATTTCATGACATTTCATCGATTGGAAGGGAAGTTATTACGTTTTAAGTGTCAGTATGTTTGTGTTATCGGTGCGAAAATGAGCTTCGAACAAAGAGCCAACATTAAATTTTGTTTTAAAATTGGTAAAACTTTTACCGTAACGTTTCAATTGATGGAACAAGTTTATGGCGATGAGTGCCTATCCCGTAGCAGAGTGCACGAGTGGTTTCAGCGTTTTCAAAGTG